TAAAAAACTCAGAGCTCTAGAAACAACCTTAAACTATTGACAGAAATTTAAATACTTTTTAGAGGGAGGTCATCAAAAAATAAACCCCTTAAAATAGTAAATCAAAGTTTTGCATGCGCTAGGCAGTAACACAGCAGATTTAAGACTTCTTTCTCTCCACAATGGCGACAAATTAGATTAAAACGAATATTAAATCATGTACCTTGCTTTCCCAATCGGATGTGACCGATTTGACCGATCTATCTGGGTGAACCTACCACATGACTGATGTTTTACGGGGCATCTCAATGACTGTACTGAATATTTTTCTTTTTATTTTTTGTTAATACTCATATATTAACCACATTACAACCCTATGATCATATGACGCGAAATGTAACTGTAGTATTAGATGCTTATTCTATAATGCTAAGAAACAAATTTTATTACTACTTCCTTAATATCCAAAACATTTGCGAAACCGTTTTCGGATGACCTATATTATCAAATATTAATATTAATGCTTAATATTCTACATAAACAACTAAACCCCACATCATCTATAATAACTTGATATAAAAATTTTGATTTTAAAGGAATAGAAAAGCTTAGAATGTTGTATGCTACCTTACAGACATAATTATTTTGGAAGTTTACACATCTGTCAGATACAGTACCTATTACTGGACCTATTTACCTGACAAAATAAGTTCTTCCTAAGATCTTTGGTTCTCTATGAGTTGACGACAACTATCGCCTCTAAGAGAATTACGAGCTGTACGAGCTTTATCACGACATTGATGTAATGCAGCGAAAAACATCTAGCGGCTTCATTGATATTTGATTTTTGTAGATATTTGTAGTTGAAGGAAGAAAACATAAAGGTAAACTGTGATATCAAGGTATCAAGTTGAAGATGCACTAACCGTAAGTGATGTACAAAATATATGCTATATCAGGCCGCAACTCAGTAACGGATTGTTATGACCATTTAAGTTAGTAGTACGGTTAATGAAAATATCAATCTATTAACGGTTTACCGGTGGGGACAACAATATTAGTTATCTACACCAAAACATTTCTTATAATAAAGTCATCTAAACTCTCGTTGCACTCGTAGATAGCGGAGTTGAGAAAATTTCTGCCATCACGACTGCGCTTCTAGTTAATGCAGACCCAGAGCACACCCCTTTCAAATATTTGAAGGCATTCCATTTGAGAGAACGAGACTCCAGACTAAATAGGAAATAAGTATGCAAAAGTGACTGTATTAGTTGCTTGTAACAAAACAGTTTGATATGCACGTTTAGCAGAATATCACGGCATAGACCATTTTTAAGCTCACGGAGTTGAAGCGTGGCACTCTTCATGATGTGACTGACATGAGGATTAAAATTGTATTTAGAAGTGAAAACAACTTCCAAGTATTTTAGCCTTTCAGTGAAGCTTAAAGCGAATCTTCAATTCAAAAGTTTATATCTGAGGGTTTTAAGCTCCTGTGACGGTTGCGATATCCGTTAAGAAAGGCAACCGAAAGTTGAGTTTGATATAAGTATGGTAACACCTAGAGTGGGAGTTGATGTCAATACTAACATCGCGCGGACATCTAGACGTAGTGTAGATCAAACAATCATTGGCAAAACACATCTGTGTAACGTTGTGCTTAGAATATTTATTTGCTTGGAATATTTATATTCACATATCAAAATTTATTCTGTTTTGTGAAGTTTTTTCAATAAATCGATTATTTAAAAAACAAATACACAAATAAATACATTTTGATACTTCCATTTGTCACTCTTTCTAAAATATTCTTTGCTTAGCATATACACAAACCATCAATGTAGCAATACTTACGTCAATCTTTGTAAGTTGACATTTCTTCAATAATATCGTCATTTTATCATTAACAGCGAATGAAACATTCTGTTTTATTGTTTTGTATAAGATAAAGTCTCAAATATAATCATTGGGAAAAATTTCTTTTAATCAGCAGAAATTTGACAGAAATACGTTAAATTTTAAAATGCTGAAACCGATTACTCCCGCTGAAGAAAATAGAAACTATTTACGCGCGTTCATACAAACTTATCGCAACTTACCGATTCTGTGGGACACTTCGCTTCGAGATTACACAAACCGAGATAAAAGAGCTGAAGCGTATGAGCAACTGGTGCCGATTTATCGTTACCTGAAGCGCGATGCAACAGTTGAGGATGTGAAGAAGAAAATAAATACACTCAGAACGAATTATCGCAAAGAACTTAAAGTATTTTTAATTAAAACATTTTCCCTAAAAACAATAATTTTAAACCATGAAATACAATTTATAGGTAGTAGAGTGCTCCCGACGTACTGGCTTGTTGCATACACCGAGATGTTGGACTTACCCAGAATTAGATTTTTTACGCAACACCGAAAAATTCTTAGCTGTTAATCCAAATTACAAAAATGAAAGTTTTGCCTTCAGTGAAAATTCACAATCGCAAAATGGTTTTTTGGATGCTTCAAACTATTCACCAAGTATTGCGGAAATGTTTCAAAAATCCTTTGGCAATGCAAAACCAGAAGCACAAGTGGCTGCAGCATCACCTACATCAACTGGTGCGCCACATATAGTCGTTGACTACCACCAACAGCAGCAGAATAACACTCAACCTGATAGTGTGAAGCGACAACGTTTGTCTCCACATTCTCATACATCGACACCAAATGGACACAGTGCAGATGAAATGCATATGATAAATATGGCTTGTGATTACTTGTCAGGCACTTTTCCAGAAGAGGAGTCGATAGCACGTACATGGACGCATAAATTGAAACGTTTACAAAGGCCGCAACGTTTGCTTGCTGAAAAATTTATTAACGATATACTCTTCGAAGCTGAGAGCGGTACTCTACACCGCGGTTCCATACATATAAACGGTTATGAACCATATGTACGTTATGAACAGCAGCAGGCAGATGAACATATTAAATCACAGAGTCCCAGCATACACACGAGTTGCACAAATACAGCAGCTGCATCACCCGAAACAGAGCCAAAAACACTGAGCTCCAGTGATACAACACCTAATAACTTTGGTGGTTACAAAATAAATGGAATGTAAATAATTTGTTAATATTATTATTAGTAAATAATAATTATAATCTTATATATAAAAATCTCGTGTCACGGTGTTTGTGTTTAAACTCCTCCGCAACGACTTTACCAATTGTCATGAAACTTTTTGTGTATATTTGGTAGGTATGAGAATAGGTCGTACGCCAACAAGTACATCGAGCATTTACATCCACTTCGTTTCTTCGTCTTGCGTTCAAGTACGAGCCAGATATTGAATATTTCGCACATCCGAAAGTGATGATTGGTTCTATGGACAAAGAATGCCCTTATTGTCATGCACTCAAATTCAAACAAGAATTAGACGGGTTGTGTTGCGCATCAGGAAAAGTGCAATTACCAGAAATTGAGTGACCACCAGAACCATTGAACGGCTTGCTCATTGGCACGCATGAAGATTGAAATCTGTTCCTGAAGACCATTCGAATATTTAATTCATGCTTCCAAATGACTTCGTTCGGAGCAACGGAAATAGTTCACAATACTGCAGCAAATGGCAGTACAATACAATACATTCATTATCAATTATTTAAAAAAAAAAAGAAATCAGTAGAAATAATTTATGCGGCAAAACAACGTTTGCCGGTTTAAATTCTAGTAATATATAGAAAGATTGTGTGTATATAGAACATATTAATTTTATTTTAAAAATAAAATCCAACTTTAGGTTGTTCAAAATTATATTGTACATAATGTTAAGATAATCTCTTTAATAAATAAAAATAAATTGTCTAAGAAATATTTTACAATATTTTAATATTACATTCTTTGTTCGAAGGCTTTAAATTTTGTCAAGTTTTTATGATTTAATTTACAAGCACATATATTTTAGATCAACATTTCAATAACTAATATTATGGATTTAAATATTTAAAACTAATATCCTTTATTATATTTGCTCATTATTTGTTTAAATATTACTTTAAAACACAAATAGATTTTAAAGACCAACTTAGTTTTCAAAAAATGTAATAAAAATAATAGTCCAAACTTAAATTAAATTAAGTACCGTATTAAAAAACCAAATGCGTTTCGAAGCTGAAAACAAGTCTCTTAGGAATTCACAATTTTAGTTAACTGGTTCGTAATTTGCTACTCCACGCGCACACCAAACGAAAGGAGAAGCTGCCGCAAATAGAAGTCCAGCACCAATCATAGGACGGTGTAATACCCAAGCTATTGAGGCTATTATTAAAGCCATTGAGAGGGAGAGCACAACATTAGCGCCTACTGGATAATGTGGATCTGGAGCGAGTGCAGATAAAAATTGTACACGCATAACTGTGATATACAAAAAGCAAATTATTTATTAATAATAAATTTTAAGCTTACAAATAAATATCCAAACTTACGTATAATGTGTAACAATGTTGAAGTACATGTGGCGCCGAAAAATACTAAGACCCAGCCCATGAAACGAAAGCCCCAAGTGGTTAACCGTTGTGCATGATGTTCCTGCTTAAATACTTCACTGAGATTCAGTTCACCACTATAAACTAACAATACATCGAGTCCACGACTAGTTTTATATGGCACAATTTTGTTATTTTCTAGCTTTCCCACAATGGTATACTAAAATAAAAAAATGGAAAATTAATATAAAATAAATATAGCATATTTCCAAGTAATTGAATATTGAATATGTAAGTACCATTTCACCCTCCATACCGCTAAATGAAAATAACAATCGCACATCACCAATCTCAGGATTGAAAACATCATTCGAATGATAATATATGCCTAAATGCAATTTAATTGATGCATCTTCAGGTCTCTGATCTGATGTAAGTTCTACATAATTAGAAAATTTTTCCTTCACATGTGGACCAAGCTCATATTTTCCTATATATACTGCATCAGCAATTTGTGTTACACTTTCGATGGGAAAACGTTCAGGATTATGATGACCTGTTTCTATATAAAACCTACGTGAGTCTATCAGTTTGTCGCGCCACTCCATTGTATAGTAATAAGTACGGCCTTCGCTCTGCACTGAAGCTACACTTTCACCATAATTATTTTCACTAATTTATATAAAAAAATTAAATTAAATGATTAATTTTTACAATATTTAGTTAATATTTCCTTACACTGTCTCCTCCACCCATTGATACATTTGTACACGTCTACGCAACTTGACTGCTAAAACTTGTATGTTGTAGTCTGGTTCTGTAAGTGGTTCGCCAATAATAATGGGTCCTGCCATATGTACAATACGTCCATTGTAGTTATGTTCTAAATGATCGGTTGGATTAATTGAGACAGCTTCATCTAGAGCTTCATCAAGCGACATAATTGTGTGCACCGCACGGCCCTGTCGCAAAGTTAATTCAAATAAATTTAATTAATATAAACAAACAATTAATTCAAACTCACTTCATTCCAAAATAGCACCACTGCTCCGAAAATAAACAATAAAATGCCAAAAGTAGCGACTAGCCAGCGGTTACAAAACGCCTCCCATAATAGCATTTTTAAATATTAATATCAACATTTATTCAATAACATTTAATTTGTTTATATTTTCTTTTAGTTAAAAAGGATACAAGACAATATAACTTTAAACAGCTGTTAGAAGTCTTCAAAATACAGGGTAAACAATTTCTTTGAATTTAAAATTTCACGAAAAAATCTTTAACATTATATATTTCATTTATTTATATTTAGATATGTAAAAATTTTGAATAATTGTTATAAATTTCTTAATTCAAAAACTATTCGATTTGGTTATTCAACATAACTAAAATGACAGAAAATATTAAATCTGTCATTTTATATGGTTTGACATATTCTGGCAGTTGAAATGGTCAGACATAAATGGTAAGACATTCAACAATTAAAAATAATGAGCGTTTTTATATTAGACATCTATAAAAAATCGTCAAGAAAAACAAATATATTATGTTTTATTGACCAGAGACATAAAGCTATCAAAAGTGTTCAAATACTTCATATAAATGTTAAACCACTTATGACATTTTCATGGCGTTTACACTGGCTAGATTTTTATACTCAAATGCAAATACGTATTAAATTCAAATTTTGTCGGAGAACAAAAAGTGTGTGAAAATGTTATAGTGCAATCAAATATAATACCAAATTCTTGACAATATAGACGCCGTCTTATATATATATAATAATAAAACATTTAACTTTTAAACGCAGTGTAAGCACTTCAGTTAATTATACTATGGTAAACGATATTATTGTGTATTGCTAAAATGTAAGTGTGAAATCTAAATAATTTATATGGTATGTCAATATTTAACACTTTAACAAATAAGATGCCGCAAGGTATAATAATTTACTCAATTTAAACTGTTAAATCAACCGCTACTAATTTTTTTTTTTATGAGTTTTGTTGTAATCATAATATCTCTACTCATCCTATTTCTATTTATACTATATTTAATACTCTAGTTACTTAACATTAGTTTAGCTTGCTAAAGAAAAATAATGAAGAAGCCTAAATTATGACATAGACGATGCTACGCAAACCAAGTATGCCGTGCTACCAAATTGCACTATTCAAGTATGCATTCAAAATTTCGGTCTGCAGACATGTATGCAGTAATGTTACACCTTGTTTCAAAGTATATAGCAAAGTGTATACTTGGTATGTACAATTGGTGTGCATACACGTACCATTGTCTATATCATGCTTAAGATGTAATTTATTCTAACATAAAGTTTAGGCTTCAAATTTCCGACGCTTTATCTAGACAACTGCATTTCTCGACATTTCTGCTGTAATACCGCTCTACAATCATGGTTACAATAACCCCATTTTCCCCACTCCACTATCTACAAGTCTTTTATTATCCAATTACAGTAACCCCTTCCACAAAGTTTACTTTTATTCACTAATTACTAACTAGCAAGAACATCCTCCTTTTCTCTCCTCACTTGTTTTCAGTTTAGACCTAGATATAATTGTTCTTTATTCTAATGTCTGCTTCTAATGTCAGTTGATTGAAATTTGTACATTTTGCATTCCTAAGAGGGTGAATTAGTGAGTTCAAGTATCGATGTTTTCCATCTACGGGGAAAATATGAAATTACTTAATTAATTACAATAAATAATTGATTTTAATAAATTAATGTTCTTATCCTTATCCTTTGTCCATTTTTGTTTTCAAAGAATGCCGTCCCCTTTTACACTTCCTTTACCCAACCGTATTCTAACCCATTAAAAGTAATTGTAATTTCTTTTATATTATCTATAATATACAAAGTCCAGACAATAAACTGGTTTAAACTGATAATTCGTTAAATCGGTGACATTGGGTACAGATTCAGTGCTATCAGTATTGCTCTACTGAGTTTTCGAGTAGATCTGAATACTCTTAATTCCAATATTCCTATTGCTTGTAATTTTAACGTTTTAAATAAATTGGGAACACACTGTGTAAATGTGTAATTAAATAAAAACAACAAATAATAAATTTATCAGCTGTTGTTGTTTACATTTATCAACATGAGCTCACCTTATCCAGCAGGAGAATTATTAGCCGAGCTGTGTTTAAATAAGTTCGATACATTACCCAAAACTGGAAAACCAACCAATAAGGAATGGACGATCCTAGCAGGTGTTGTACAGTATGACGAAAATCGGAAGGAAAGTAAGGTTGTGGCGCTGGGTGCTGGTACAAAATGCATTGGTAGAAGCAAACTATGCAGTGGCGGTTTAATATTAAATGATTCACATGCAGAAGTACTAGCGAGAAGAGCACTGCTACGATACTTTTATGCTGAACTTAGAAAAGCAATAGAGAATAAATTGTCCATATTTCAGTGGAATGCAGAAAAGTTATTTTTCACTCTAAAGCGAGAATTGAGTTTTCACTTCATTAGCACACAAACGCCTTGTGGTGATGCTTGTATTGAGGACGAATCATGTGACGAGGAAAGTATTGAAACACCTAATAAAAAGCCTAAACTTGTCTGCGATGAATTAGTACAAAAAGATTTTGGTAAGACTTTGTTGAATGACAGTGAAGTGGTTTACACTGGTGCTAAACTAATTGGGGAACACAGTGATCTACTCCAACAGTTTGTGGGAGTTGTACGTACTAAACCAGGCAGAGGTGATCGCACGCTGTCAATGTCTTGCAGTGATAAATTGTCGAGATGGAATGTTTTAGGTGTACAAGGCGCACTACTAGATACTCTGCTGGATAAACCCATTTACTTTGAAACATTAACATTTTGCTGTAGTAGAAGTAATGAAAAATCCATACGTCGTGCCATATACG